GCGCCAGCGAATGCACGGAAGTGCTTGAGTTGCTGGTGACGCAACTAAAGTGCAACGATTTTGTGCTCGCGGACACCCTGCAGAAGAGCATCTATTATGAGTTGTTAGTGTGCGCGCTTCAGCGTTTGGCCGCATTACGTCGGCCGGTGGAATGCGAAAATTTCATTCGAAAATTTGTGAAGTTGTACTTGAATTTTATAAATAGCTTTGGCAGCGAGATGGCTTTTGAACAGCTGGAAGAGGCTCTACATGACTTTTTATGCATTGCACATCAGTATATACCACAGATGGGCGTTAATTTCTTTGGCGCTTTCTTCACTGAACGCCGCATTGCCAAATCGACCATCAAGTTGGCTTGCCTGCTGTTTGAACGTGATGAGCGGCTGGGCACTGAGTTCAAGCAGCTGTTACCGCAGAATCTTAATAAGAAAGAGCTTGTTTACCCGTTGCTGGATATAGCGTTCCGTAAACAATTAATGTTTGAGCCAGTGCTATTGCACAACGTCTATCAGTCGTTTAAGAGTGGCTTCATGAAAACTATCGAGAAGCCACAAAAAGCGGGTGTTATCTACAAGGAGCATGCGGGAGTTTCCATTGCCTTGATCGAACACTGCATGCCGCGTTCGGAGTGCCTTGATTTCTGCAATAAATCGTTCAAATTTGATGGCTTGGAGGTGTATCAGCTGCGCGTAATACATGCGATTTACAAGAAAGCGATTGGTAGTGCTGAGGAAGCTACAAATAACAGCGCGCAGCGTGCAACTATATTTCTGAATTTCGTCAGCTTGCTGGTACAGCTGCTGAGTATTGAACTGAGAAAGCAGCTGCAGGATGCCGAAAAGCTGGAGCAAAGCGCCTTCCTGCTATACGATTGGTGGCAGCAGGTGAACGCGGAGTGCGCCGCAGGGCTTGCTGTAAAGACACAGAAGGGGTCGGCGAAAAAGAAGAAGAGTGGGAGCACTGCCGATGAGAGTAATGATTTTATAACTACCGAGGCTACAACAGATGACGCTGAATTTGCACCCGACTTCTCGAAGCTGCTGAAGAATCAACAATGGCTAAATTTCTGCAAGCTCTGCCTCAAGCTGGGCATGCAATATGTCGCGGACGACGCTGCCGCTCCCCATCAGTCAGTCGCCACATACGCCTTATTACTACAACTGCTCGCCTACCTTTGCCAGAAGCTCTATGTCGACTACTCAGCCAATACGGACGCTGAACCACCGCCAGCAGAGCCTGCTCAGCTATTCGACATGATTTTCGGTCATTCCAAGTTTTTCGACATCGTTTTGTCGCAGCGGGAAACACAAGTTAAGACGCAAGTGCTCCACCTGCTCTATACGCTTGCACTCAAGAATCCCGAAGCGCTCAACGAAGCGCAAATACCAATTATTTTAGGCGCCTATCAAGCGAAACTATCTGACGCCGATCGCTACGCCTTGGCGCTGCTACAGCTCTACGAGATTCACGACTGTGGCTTGCAGCAATATCGCCCGTTCATTTGGGGCGAAAGCGCTATAGCTTTCTATTCGTTGCGCGCTGCGGATGAGGAGCGCGCCAAGCTAACGTTGCAGGAGACGTCCATCGCGCAAGTGATGTCGCTCATCGATCGTCAGCTGTGCGAGTACACAATCGACAATTTTCCGATATGGCGGAAATTGAATAGCGCAGAGCAGCTACCCATTGTGGAGTTCCGCGATCCGGCTATGAAAGCGCTGGAGTTTGGCAGCAATGAGCTCGAATGCCGCATTGAGCGTGGTTGCACGCAATTCGTAGAGGCTGAATTGCGTTTGTGTCCAGTGCGGGCACGCGTCTACACGCAATGCTATGATCCAGCTTTCTTTGTGCCGCTCATGAATATGTGTTTTGCTCCCGAAGCTTATTCGCACCCAGCATCTCCAGTACAAAACGGGTTGTTGGCGTTATCGTTTGCAGCGCTTTCGTCGCAAGATCGTGACATGCGCTTAGCTGCCGGGTGTGCGCAGTTGCGGTACCGCGCACATTTCGAGGCGAACAAATTCTTCGAGCGCCCGCTGTGGGTGCAGGCCTACGACAACATACAGGCGGGACTCAACGACCTGCGCGAATCATGGGTGAAGCATAAGAAGAACAGCGGAACGCCACGTGTGCCGTACATTTCAGGTCTATTCGTCGCTAAAACCTTCAATTTGACCACCGACCCCACGCACCTGCTCTACAAGCAGCTGACTATGTATTTGCGGTTGAAGAGCACTTTCAATTTCCAGTGCGTGCCTGAGTTCAATGTGCTCTTCTACTCACCCGAGATAGAGCACCAAGCTTTCCGCCAGTTCATTGTCGAGGTAATACGCAATGGCATCAAATCCGGCTCAGATCTCTTTTTGCTCGTCACCACCAATACCTTTAAAGTGCTGCAGGGTTTCTATGGCAGCGCCATGTCCACATTGGATATGAATTTACTCNTTCAATTTCCAGTGCGTGCCTGAGTTCAATGTGCTCTTCTACTCACCCGAAATAGAGCACCAAGCCTTCCGCCAGTTCATTGTCGAGGTCATACGCAATGGCATCAAATCCGGCTCGGATCTCTTTTTGCTCGTCACCACCAATACCTTTAAAGTGCTGCAGGGTTTCTATGGCAGCGCCATGTCTACATTGGATATGAATTTACTGATACTCTCCGTCTTCTCCACTTGCGCAAAAATACCCGCCTCCTCGAAAGTAATGATCGAGCATGTCGGTCTGCTGTCTTGGCTCAACTCGGTCATAAGTACTATAGAATTCTATCACTTTGATGTCATTGAGGGCCTCATAAGCACGCTCAGCAATCTATGGTATTCTGTGCGGGCATTTGCCAGCGAGTTTCATAATTTTGCACACATAAAACTCGAACTACATCAGCTGGTTTTGCGTTTGTTACCACACCTGTCAGCACGTATTTCGCCACACAACTTTGCGCGTCTCATGAATGTGCTACAAAAGACGACGAGCGGTCAGTATCGTGCCATGTCTGAGTCGCAGTTGGCGAACTTGATTGAATGCGCCGGCAAGCACTATCCCACGCTAGTGCAGGACATTGAGGGCATTATGGCGTTCGGTGGCGCTGGCGCGGCTGCGCATGAGGACTACTGTCGTGGATTACATGCCGCGGGTGAGGATGTGGATGCGTCCACCATAATGGCTCTGTCCAGCTTGCGTGCCTACACAATCGATTGGTGGCACAATAGGCGTGCGCAGGAAGTAGTTGGTGGTGGAGGTAGTGAGTCCACGACTGCGGATTTAAATGTAACGGCGAGCGAGTAAATGAGTACCAAACTTAGTACGCTTATTGTTTGCGCTCTTCAATTGAATAGCCTTGAAATGGGTTTTGCATTAAGTTTTCATTTCAATGTTTAATTGTTGTATTTTATGTAGTTGCGATTACTGCAATCGAAAATGTTTGATGAAACCATTGTATATTTTTAGGCTTTTAAAACGTCAATATATACTATCTAGTTGTTATATACCACATGTATGCGTGTGTTAAAAAATGCATCAAGCCAAAGCATCAGTTACTTTTATTTCTAAACTATTGTGGATGGAAATGTTCAATATGCCCAACCATGGTTTAATGCCTGATTGGAACATAGTTGCGAAAATAAGGCATCTCCTTCAATTATAGTTTAGAAGTAAAAGAGACTGATGCATTTGCTTGATGCATTTCTGAACGCACCCTGTCTTCAATTAGCAATTATGCCGCTTTATATTTCAGAGAAATTGGCTTTAAAAGAAATTTTTTAAGTCGTTCATGGGTGCATGATTTTAAGTAACTTTTTTTTATCAAGGTGTTAAAAAGTTTCTAAACCAGGCAACTTTGTGAAAACAAATATGATGCGTGCCAACACTTCTAAGCACGTTGCACAAACAAATCAGCAATGAGTTAACAATTGCGGAAAAATGTGAAATTTAGAACAGTCACAGCATGTAGAGGTGTGTTGAATGAAATAAATACGAGAAAACCTCATGGTATGTGAATATTAAAATTAAAACAAGTAATTTTTAGCATTTTTAGCAAAAAAAAAATCCGACTTCAACTCTCATAAAAAAAAATATGTATATATCTCATGATCCACTCATCGGATCTTAGCCACCTCTGAGACACTACCTTTCCGCTGCAAAAAGAATTATCGAAATCGGTTGACGTGGTCCAAAGTTATGCGGTCACATACATGATTTTCATTTCAAAAAAAAAAAATAAAAAAAAAAAATAAAAAAAAAATTAATAAAAAATAAAATTAAAAAAAAAAAAA